TTAAATTTTGCCTGATAGCTTGTCATATATTAATTATAAATAATTGTAATATATAGCTATCATAATGCATGCAACAAAAAAAAATAGGAAAGGTAATTAAAGTATATCCTTTGTTTCCCCTCTTCATTTCTTGCTCACAAGAAAAAAATGACCCAGTGTTTCACTTGGGTTGGGACAGTGCCAGTGGTTAATGGAATGCCCCACTCTACTAAAGAATTTAATGGGAATATCCATTTGTCACAGTCGCATGCTGTAATCTCCAGTAGCAGAGCCAATGGAAAATAGCATCATTCCGTAACGTCCTCTATACACTGCAGGTGAGGGGGAAATGCAGCAGCAGGACTGAACAAAGTCAGAGTAGAAGGCCTGCCTTTTCTAATCCTTTCTTTAGATAAAGATGTGGATTTCTTTTCTTTAAGAGAGTAGTGATATCTGACAACAACAAGGAATGCTGATGGTGAGAAAAAGAGAGTACATTTATTTTATATGGAGAAAAGTGTGCATGTGTGCATAGCATGTCTCCAAATCTCTAATCACCTCTTTGTCTAAGGAAAGCCCACCTGTTTGTAGAGATATTGGATAGTGGAATCAGAAAGACCAGGATTATATACTCATTTCAAACACCTCCTAGTTCTGAGTTTGAGCTTTCAAATCTGAAGAATGGGAATAACATTACCTAAATCTGCAGTGCTACTGGTAGAATCCACAGGACTATATGAATCAAAAAATTAGCATAGCACCTGAGTTACTATCTTCCTTTCTTCTTCACAATTTAGGTGGAATTATAGTGTAGTCTGATTATTCTGTATATCTTGTATTCCAAATGAAATAAAATATTACTTAGTTTAGGGATTGTGTTTTGCATATACCTGTTTTATTTTTCTCATGTCCCAAGTTCTGTGTTTGGGACAAGAAGTGCGCTGCTAAGAAATGCTGTATGAATTAAATGTGAAAAACACTAACACTGGTAGAGATTAATAATTATTTGAGAATTAAAACCACTATATTCCATTTATACATTTAGCAGCAAATAGAGTACATTAACTAGCACCTATAGAAAGAGGTCTCAGATATTCATTTTGCTGCCATATGAAACTGTTCACTAGCTTCAGAATACATCACTTAAACCTATGTGTTTCTCCATTCTAACTGGATTTAATACAAAACACTGAAGTCCACACAAAGAAAATATGATCAACCATTATTCAATTCTTTGCTTAATAATTTTAATCAGAATAGAATAAAAACACAAGATTTGAGGTCAAACAGATACAGGTTTAAAGTGCTAGCTTGGCCACTTGCTAGCTGTCTACTTAGCCAAACTACTCAACTTCTCTGTTCCTGTTTTCTCACTTACACAATGGGGCTAATAACACTTAACTAGCAGGGCTGTGGTTAAGACTGGAGGTGAGGCAGCAGCTTTGAAATCTTTTATTTTAATCAGTAGCCATATGATTGAAGCACTAGGTTTATAAAAAAAAAATTAGCACATATAATATACTCTTTTTTCTTTCAGTTCTTTCACTTAAAAACTGTTCATGATCCACTAGACAGGCGGCCCACAAAAGGGCATTTTGAAAAACAATGGCATAGTATGATGTTTAGTTCATAATACAAGTGTAACAAATGATTACTACTATTGTCATTATGACTATTTTTAGCCTTCTTTTAGGATGCTTCATGATAGATGAGAATAAAATCTTGCAAATACTTCTAGGAACTAATTCCCTTGGATGGGGTCCAAAATAGACTCATACTTATCGTATGCAGAATTATGCACTAGAGGGGGATGTGCTATAGCAAAGCTCCTGTGTGCTATTCATCACAGAATGTTAGGCTGGAAAAGAACTAAGGCAATGTCTAGTCCCATTTCTTTATTTTTCTTCAAAAAATTTTATTTTCAAGTATTCATAGTTTTAAAATATTCTGTATTCATTACTCACTGGTAAGTGGGAGAAATGGCTTCTTTAACCCCGAACTGGGAGGCAATTAGGAATAGTTGAGGGAGGGGGACACTGGGTCATGCTATCTGGGGTTTTGTTCTGCCTTTGCTAGCAAATAGTTGGGGTCCCTTAGCTTATCAGGGATTCAGTTTTCTTGCCTGTAAAATTAGTTGATTTCAACAGATGATTAGTCAACCTCTGAGGTTCTTTGACTCCAGATCTCCAACAGTAAACCATCCCAGAGGTTACAGGAGATGCCACCTAGTGCAGTTTTGTTACAGATCTGCTCTGAGTGTATCAGTCCGTGTTGAGGGGCTATGGCTGTTCAGCCACTACTCAAATGTGCGGAAAAAGTCGGCTCCTCTATTTGCTCTATCTCCTCTTCCTTGGAAACATCACTTTGAATAATATTGTCTTTTTTGCATAATAATAGCTCAGACTCTCTGGTTACTTCCTCCCCCTGCTAATTGTTTCTCCAAGAGGTGTGGTTGAATGGGACAGGAACAATTAGAACCTCATGGTGTCAGGAAAGGTGGTCCTTGGGCTAATGTGCTGCCCTCTGTCTCCTCTGAGTTCTGAGTTCCTTTTCTACCTGCTTGTTGCTCACCTTGGTCATGATCATTGCTAGATTCTCTAGCTAGTCTAACTTGCCACCAGCAGGGTACATTGATATTTCCTCAACTGTGCTCCCACATAGCAGTCAGATTTCCAAGCTGGGATCTTTATAAATAAGGTGAGATCTGGTCAAATCTTGTTAAATGAAGCAGAGGGATGTGTCTCCCTTTACCAAAGACAACAGCAGAGGAATATTTGGTTTTCTTTAAACCTTTGTTTTTTCCCCTAACATCCAACTTTGCAAGAGGAAAATGGACTCACCAGTTTATAGGAAGGATGTGGCAATGAGAAAGCCAAACCAGAGTGTACACTGTGAGTGGAAATCACCTATGTGGGGGCTCAGATTTTTGGATCCATACTCAGGGAACAGGGGTAAGTGTACATCACATGCCTGTTCAGCCTTTCAGTTCCTCGTGTCATTAGGAATAGTGAAGGATAAACCTGGCTTCGGGGGTTTGTGCAGGAATAAGTTTCTTTTTGATTTTTACTATCAGGTTAACTGCTAAAGAAAAAAAGAACAAGGAACAGCCATGACAAGATGAACACCTCCACTCCAAATTGCAGGAAAACCAAATTTCACTTAGCAAAACTTCTTTTGAAAATATGTGACTTATTTTTGAAGTACATGGGGTAGGGGGGGGCAGAGGATTACTGACTAACCATTCAGTGTCTTTCAGGAGGACAGCATGCAGAAGGGTGAGGAGAAATGGGTAGCTTGAGACAACACGATGCCTGATCATTAGGCTGGATCTAGGGGGGTCTGCTTGCATTTGCTCTCTGTAAGCCAGCCTTGAGCCTGTAAGTATAAGTATTGTATTTATGTGCGCCCTGGACACAGAATGAGCAAGGAGGTGGCTGGAGGCCCTGCCTTTACTTTATTTAACCCTTCTGACAAGCTTCTAATAAAATTTGGGTAGGCCAGTTGCCAGTGGTGGCTTTCAGCTGCTGACTTTCTCCACATTCTGGAGATCTTGAGGAGTGAAAAAGGTGAAAATTTGCCCCTAAGCTAACAGTCCACACAGTGGGTTCTGTGGATGAAGGTTCCTTGGAGGAAGCTTGTGTGGCCCAACAATTGAGTGCATGTCTAGGGAGAGGGTTTTATGGTATCCTTCAGAGACGCTGGGGAGCACTACATTTCCAACACAATAAAAGCAGGTAGCATGGGAGCAAAACAAGAGTTATCACACTCGGATTGATTGGATACTTCCCTTTCTTCTTTGACTCAAAGTGGATCCTACAAGCATCCCCGAATGAGGCTGCCAAGGTGAACTGGGCGGATACAAACTGTCTCATCAAAGCGCGAACTCCGTACACTGTCATAACTGCTTTGAATGGGGCGCGACCAGCATTTTTTTTTCTCCACTGTGCAGGGACACTGAGCAGGGAGCACTCCGGTGTGCATTTCTTAGAAGATGAGAGAATTTGTTAGAGGGGGTCTTTTCTGGTCTGGTGGCTGGAAGCTGCCGAGTGACGTCACCCCGCCCCCTCCTCTGGGAAAGTGTGTGTGTGTGTGTGTGTGTGTGTGCGCGCGCGCGAGCGCGTGCGCGCGGTGCACCTCCCTCTCCCAGCTCTCCTGCCAGCCCCTCCCTTCCCCAGCTCCACGGCCCTTTCAGTGGGTCAGTGGTCCAGATCAGGAATGCGCCAGCGGGCACAGCGGGCCTGGCTCTCCCTGCGCTTGGAGGTCCCCACACTCACGCTCTCGCGCTGGCAACACGCACACACAAGCCCCCAGCACTGGGTCACCGCGAGTCCGTGGGATCCCCAGCGCGTTATGAGGATTTTAGAAATCACCCAGACAAGGAAACAAAGAGAGAAGCTTTTCCAATCACTTTCCTGAGCTTTTTCACTTAATTCCCCCCATCTAATCACCTCGCCTGCAACCGCAGCCACCAGGTTCACGCCAGGGCCAGGGACTGCGCTGGGCTGGCCATCCCGCCTCCCGGCCCCCGACTCCGCTCGGGCCGGTCTCCACGCTTCGCCGCGCCCCCTCTCGCCCGCCTCCCCTCGCTTCCCGCGGCCTCAGTTTTTGGTTACCTCTCCAAGCGCTTCACTTTTGGGGGGAAGAAAGGAAGGGGAGGGACGCCCTGAGGGGGGCAGCCGAGTTGCTATTTGTGGCCAAAGAATCCTCTTTAAAAGCAGCAGCAGCAGGAAGGAGGCAGCAGGAGAGGCGGAGGGAGAAGAGGAGACTCGGACGGACCCCCCAGCAGCGAGCGGCGGAGCGTCCAGGGGAGGGAGGGGGAGGGAACGGAGACACACAGCGGCGGCGGCGGCGGCAGCCGGAGAAGCCGGCGAGGGCGAGCGGGGGGAGCGGAGGAGGAGGAGGAACCTCCGCGGAAGCCGCGGGCTAAGCAGGGCCAGGAGGACGGCCCGCGAGGAGGCGGCGGCGGCGGAGGAGGAGACGGGCTAGGGGTGGAGGGCGGGCGGCCGGGCGGGGGACGCGCTCCTCTGGATGCTGGATTTCGGGGTTTTGGACTCACTCGCGGACTCTGCTCCACTTCCCCGCTCCGGACTGAGCTGGCCGCACGCGGGCCGGGCGGCGGCCGCGGCTCCGCGGGCTTAGATTGGCCGCGCCGAGGCGGCGGCGGTGGCGGGGTGCGAAGGCGCTGGAAGAAAGTGCTGGTGGCGGCGCGGGAGGCGGTGGCCGCGGCTGCCGGAGCCGACATGGCCAGGTACGTCCCCCGCGTCCTCCCCTCCCGGCGCGCGGGGCTCGCTCTGAGCCCGCCGCCCGCAGCCCGCGCCTTCCGCGCCGGGGCGACGGTCCCGCGTCCGCGAGCCCCGCGTCCCGGCGCCCGAGCGCACAGTTGGCGCCTCTGAACCTCCGTGAGCGGAGCCCTCCCACGGCTTGCTGCTCGCTTAAAGCCTCAGACCACAGAAAGTGGCAGTTCTAGAGAAGGAGTGTCTTGGGGTCTGTGTATATTTGTGCGACCCCCGCTCTTTCCTCTTCGGGTGGGCGTAGTATTGGGGGACATGGTGGAGCGCTGGGGCAAACCGACCTTATCCAGGGATTCTTCCTCTTCATTTTTTTTATTTTAGGGGTAATGGTTACTGTTTTAAGGTAGTTGCTCATGGTGAGGGGGAGATTTCTTTTTCCTTCTGTCCTCTGAACTAGTGGGAAGAAGGAGAAATAGCAGGAATCCAAGTCTACACGGCTGCCATAGAGGAGGGGGATTGTTTTGGAGACCTTTCCATAGGAGAATCAAAGCTTGTACTTCTACGCGAATCGGCTGTCCTTACACACTCATTCCATAGGGAAGGGTACGCAGAATTTACAGTGAAAAATCCAAGTTGTAGGGAACAATTTATAAAGAAAACCACAGCAAACCAAAGGTTCTTTTCTATCGATTTATTGTAGTTCTTATATAGACATACAGAAAACTTGCATTGTTTATCTGTGAGGATGATTTTCACTTAGATGCATTAACCAGTGAAGTCAGTTTTCTTATGCTTAAAAGAAAAAAAAATATCTTGAACACTAAGTGTGAGCTTGGCTTTCACTAACTGAGTGTTCCAGGATTCTGAGTAGTAGTTCCAGTCTCCAAAACCCAGACTATCACAATCCACTTGTATTGTTTTCAGCTCCTCTCCTTGTATACGACTTGTCGCATGTCTCCTCTGTTTTCTAAAATTCTTAGAGTTATCTCCCAGACCAATCTGCAGTTGGTGCCTTAAACACCCGGAAAGATTCCTAAGGGATTGCCCCCCTGCCCCTATATTTTCTCTTAAAGTTTTTTTTTTTCCTTTTATGAGCCCACAGCCAGTGATTTAAGGAGCTTAGCACACACATTTTGTCCCTCTCAGAGACTAGAAACTGCTTGTGACTTGAGATGGATTTGTTGCTGGACCTCTAGAGCTACAAATGTGGACCTTTCTCTTTGGTGTGTTCTTTCCAACCATCCTATACAGCACATATTTGGGGAATTAGTCCAACCATTGATGCACTTCTGACCATTTTGACTGTTCTGTCTCTGATGCAAAGTGTATGCACTCACCACTCAACTTAAGTAAAACCAGGGTCATGTACCAAGACTTGAAACATTCTGATTTAAGGGAATATTTGAGTAAGAACAACTTAAAGATTATGTTATGTTGGTAATATGATGATATCCAGGATAATGCATACTTCTTTTGAAAGCATATTCTGTTAGATGACCCAGATAGGTATTATTTATTGCTTTCACAAAGAGAAAATACATTTTTAATGCTCGATGTCCGAATTCTTGAAACAGACATTCTAAATGGACAGTAGGAAGAAAATTTCCCTACCTTCCACCTCCCATAATTATGTACTGTACTTTGCTTTTCAATGGAGCTAGCAATTCTGTGACAGATTTCTTAAATTCACCCTCATGCTATCAGCTATTATTGTACTTTCAAAGTGTGAAATTGACAAGCTGGTCAGTTTCATGAATTCAGCTGTCAGATTGTGTCCACTTAAAAACTGCTAAGAGCTGTAAATGTGCCTGCCTGGAATTTTCTTTTGTAAAGGAAAGACAGCAAGGAGATGAGGATTAAGGGCCGTTACTAATTGTACATCTTTTGAAATAGGTGTAGTCCAATGTGAGTTTTATCACTGACTGTGGTTGGGAAATATATTTAAATTTCTACTATTGTAAAAGTGGCATTCAGTTTGTATCAGTATTTCATTTTTAATAGTGAGCATTTTAGAGAAATAATCTGTTCTTAAAACCCTCAGTAATAATTGTATGGTGGGAATGAGATTCAAAGAGGAAAAATGTCTGGCAAATATATTTTAATATATATAAGTAATATATTTCATGTGTAATGACATATAAAGAGGTGGATGTGTGAAATGTTTTATTATGGTGGTTATGTAACAAATTCTTCTTGGACCAGTGCAGTTGTAGTTACTAAAGTAATAACATACAGTGATCTATTTTAATATATATGTATTTCAGTAGATAACCATGAAAGTAAAACTGCTTAAAGTTTTAAATACAATGATTGATTTGCCTTTTAAGATTGAAATTCATTTGATGCCAGAATATCTCAAGTAGGGAACTAAGAATTGGGATCCCCTCATCTGCTGCTATTTGCTAAGCCACTAGGGGCCTGTATAACTGTTCTTACATCCAGAAGATACTCTTGTATGGCATATGCAAACCCTTCCTAGAGAGACATTAAAAAAAAAAAATTCAAGTGGGCAATCCCCTAAGTTTTTTTTTTTTTTTTATTTAACCTATTAATTTATGCTCTGATGATGTTAGTAACAGATATTGATTGAAGGATTTTCGAGAACACTATTTAGAGCTTTTCTAAAACTATAAGTTATGTGAAGATGATTTTTCATATAGCAGGTAAAATGTAGAAGTATTTGCACAAATTCATATATGATCTTCATTTCTCACTGTATGCCATGGATAAACAAGTAGGAGCGCTAATAACTTTTCTTTATTGGACTGATAAGGATGGCATTTGCATACTGTAGGGTTAAAAGATAAATGAAGCAGAATTACTTCAAGGAATGTGTAGTCATAGATTGATGGTATGATTAAACTAGCTTTGTAAGTGCTGTGCAAGTCAGTGTAGAAGGAAACTCTGAAGCTGTGACGACTACAGTTTACTCAGCACTCTTGGGACCTGGACTGAAGATGCACTATACATTTTTAAGTGTCAGTTTCACAAATTTGAAATCGACCAGCCATGGCAGTCTTGATAGACATTAGGCGATAAGGTCAAGTATACTTACACTGTTCTTTTGTTGATTTTCAGTTTTTCAAACTGACAAGGGTGACTATTTGTAAAAGAGCACACTATAAACATTTGCATATTGGATTTCCTTCAGACCAAACTTGATTTATCAAGCCATTGACCGATTCTGTTTTAAAAGGGATTCTATGGAGCAATAAGAATTCATTAACACAATAACATATGAAAAGTGTCATTTCAGAGAAGACAGATTTCTCAGGGTGATTTCACTTTAAAACTACCCTTCTTTAGTTTCAGCATGTATCCGCCATAGTCTGAGAGCTGAGTAGGTGTACGCTCTACCCTGGGATCCTGAAAGCATCACACTTTTAGGCTAACCTTTTTAAATCTATACATTTAATCTTTGGTCATGCGTACCTTTTTAATTCCTCAAATTTCTGGAAATCTTGCAAGTAAGCTTTACTTTTAATGTAGTGTACTAAGTGGCCATAAATATACTTTTAGGATTCATATTAAAAGCACAGAGATATGAAGTGCTAAATATAAAAACATAGTTATTCAGGTTTCTAGAGTATTCAAAGAATGTATTACTTTTTTGCTGTTTCCTTAAAGGGATAGTACTTTTCGGTTGAAAAGATTAGTGTGGGTAAGTAAGCTGTATTTTAAGCTAGGCCTACCCTGAATATCTTACTACTGCCTTACAGAGTTTTTACCTTATCTGTGGATGGTTTGGTTTCTTGGAAACCTACTTACTTATGATGGCACAAAGGCAACTTGCAGCCTTAAGTAAAGTCAGTGTTTAAAAACATTTATATTTGTATTATCAATGATTTGCCAAGGAAGAGCAGAGAAGCGTTCTCTCTGTGAACTACAAGACTGAGGGTTCCTGTGTGACACATGAGCTGAAGAAATCTGATAATGTGGAAGAAGATTGCTTATAAGGGGTTGGTCAGTATATTGAATTCTCACACACATCACTTGTTTAGATTTCTGTAACTTCATAGAGTGGTGATAGTTCCCACCACAGGATAGGTTTGCTTGGGGATACGTTTTCTATATAGAAAATTTCATTTGCTTCTAATTAGTAGTTGGTAACATTTGTTAAAATGTCATTCTTGGCTTGCATTTGTTTTGAAAAGTAAAGTGTCTAAATTCTCCCCCATTACTTAAAAAAGAAAAAAATTGTGTTTCAGCTCTCCACAATTAAAACTTTAAGAAAGATAGCTGAAAGAGTATGTGGTTTATGCTTACTGATTGTTCATTATATGAAATTACAGCCTGAGATGTAAAAGTTCAGCATTTTCTCTGCGTCATAAGTCTCGGGGAGGTCAAAGAGCAAATGCTTATACGTTGTAGCACCCTCTGACCTAACATAACTTGTAAAGTCGTGGCAATGGTGCCAGATTGAAGAATTAAATGAAACAGAATTCCTTTAAGATTTTTCATAAAATTATACTTAAGGCTTATGTCCATTGCTGCCCCTTTAAGACATTACCCATTTGCTTTCATAATCAACAGTCAGTTTGCATTTTCTTCTCTTAATATTTTATTTATGAAATATTTTTAATACTTACACATTTAAGTAATTTAAATATTATATCCATCTATTCCTCAGTGCAGTTTCTCAGTGGGGAAAAATTATTGAAGCAATGCCTATAAATGCCCTGCCTCTTCCCTCTCAAAATAATGCAATTCAACACCTTTCAGTTCATTATTTTCTATTTGATGCTGATACATTTAATAGAATTATATCAGTACTTGCCAGTCAGTCCATAGCTTTTGTAAATCACAAAAATTAAGAGCAAAACTGAACTTGCTCTTGGCTTTTCAACCTTCGCTATCCCCCAGTCAAATGCCTATGTATTGTAGATAGGTAAATTAAAATGAAAGAGATGACAATTTAGAAAGTGAAGATAACTGATTCTTTCTGTAAGCCAGCAGATCAGGTGTACCAGTGGCAAATAATATTGAGCAAGTTAGATGTTCCTCACTCCACAACTGC